AATGGACATCGCGACTCGGGTGTGGAGCGCTCGGTCGATACATGAAACGTAACATTCTTTTGCCGCCGCATAGTCAAAACGTGCGCTTGTTTTAGCAGAACGTGTCAGGTATTTCGGAGTTTCATCTTTCGTCGCGTTGGATGGGAGGAATTACGCATCGCACGAAACAACAAATGCGTTTTACTGGGACATTTTTGTGTGAACAATGCGATAAAAGATGAAGACAGCGAGAAAATAAACTGAATGTGGATTTGTCGCTAGAGACATGGTGAATCAGCGATGAAGCAAACCAAGCAAGGTCTTGGTGTTTCAAGAAAAAAATAATAGAATTCGCACTTACCCGTCTCTGATCTTGCATGCCATGGTACACAGCCTTCCTTCCATATCGTAGTTTTTCGTGGCCTCCTTCAGCCATGCTGCCAATTTATACTTTTTTCAATATTATATTCACGTTTTAATATTCCATCATGTTTTGTCGTGAGCAGACAACCTACTTGTCGGCGCAGATGAAAGTGCGAGTACACGCAGAGCTATTTTCTTTTTGAAAGATAACTTGTAAATTTACGCAATAAATAATCAGGATTTGTATCCATTATCAGGAAAACTTGTGAAAAGCGTCGAGAGCGAAAGAAAACATTCACGGCGACAGTAATCCAATAGGGAAACAGCGAAGAAACGTGCGAGATGTAATACTTGGAAGTTGAGGCGAAATAAATGTAGCGACAACCGATCTAATCATTCGCTGCGATTCTGACTCATAGAGAATTTATCAAATTGAGCTAGAAAATAAACCAACGCGAAATAAATAAAGCATATTCCATGGTAATCTGAAAAAAAGATTAGGCTCCAATTTTCGACTGCTGTTACATCCGATCCGATAGACGAAATCCGAAGATTTTGCGGGTAGGAGAAGCAGAAACAAATTACTGCAGACGCCGCCGCAGCACAACTCGTGTTGATGTTGTTCTCTATGTGACGTCACAAAATCATGTGCACTTTCTGATCCACACTTGCTCTTTTATTCAATATACTATTTGCACTTATGCGGAATCACATGCATGATATATAAGGTGTTTTAGTTTTTAGTCAGTCTGTTCTTTGTTTTTTTAATCAGGCCAGAATTCTAAACGATGCGAATCAGCTGTTCGTGTCGTTAATATCCAGGTCAAAGGTGAAACCGCCACTATTCTGAGTGGCTGCGAAAGAATAGCAACCTTATCAATGTGAATGTATACTTGAAGGTGATTGGCTGGCCTAAATCGTGGGCGGTACTTTGATGGGAAACGGAATCCCGCGCCAAAAATATTTAAGTGGGAAATCCTCATTCATTTGCGCATAGTTTGGCGTCGTTGGTGGAGCCCGAATTAAAACTTCCACCAACTATATGGATACATAAACAAGTTTGCAAAGTGCAACAATATAGAAAAAGGTAAGAGCCTTCGACTTATCCACTATTATTTTTTTTAATTTTATTTCTAATTTATTTATTTTTACGACCAAGCCCTCCCATGACATGGAGTACGAAACAGTTTAGGGAGTTCCCAGTGCGACTGAATTAAAATTGTTTATTTACCAGCAGGTACGTTTCATGTACATAAAACTTCTTACACTGTCCTTTGCCAATTAATTTATAGAATTTGTCCACAGACGCGCGTTCTACAAGTTCTATAACTATAATAGTACCCTCCCCATTTCATTTATTAACCGTCAAACCGGTCATGAGACGTTCGATATCGCTTGAATAAATACTAGTGGCACTGCCAAACTATTTGAACATTTTAACATCTAGAAAATTTCAGTACCATTTAAATTTGTCGTTCTTTATTTTCGAGTTGTTGTCACCGTTCTAATTGGTGGTAAAAGCGTCCTATTGCAGTTGTGTTTTCCCGCAATGGCTATTGTTTGTACAACAAAATGGAAGCCATTCACAATTCAGGGGGCAAGAGCGATAAACTATGTACTGCATTCCGATACATGCCGTTTGAAGGTCAGTCTACCAATGAATTTGAAACACATATATTTGACTGTGATTTTGTTTTAGTTTAGTTGCAAGAATGTTTTTGTTATTTGCATAATGTTCGTTGCTCAAATTTGCGCGAAAATAACTTTGTTGAAAAAAAGGTATCCAGATCAACGCGCCATGAACCACTGTCCCGTACGATCTTGATTGCTGGTCCCCAAGGTTCATCCGTGTTTGTTTGGACATTGGTCTGAGTTTTTTTGAAAGAAGTATTTGATACATGATTATAAAACATGAACTAAATTAATAATGAATCGCCTGTGAACTTGCATTTTTATCTCAATTAAAACATTTTGCTACTTTGTGTCTGCATGGTGTCTGATAGTAGAGAACATTTATGTCACGAATGTTGTATACACGTTCCCGGGCCGCGATGACGCGCCAAATTCAAAACTCGGCAGGTCAGGTTGCAGCGAGCTCGAGAAGTTCCCGCAAAAAATGCCATATTCCTATCGCGATTGTTGCTAATTTTGAGGTCAGTATCTTTAGATTTTTGAAGCAATGATGTTTATCAAGCTTTTTTTTTTCGCGTCGTGTGGTCGATATAAACCAACGCTGTCACAGTCGTTTTATATTCTTATGGTTTTTTGGGTGACCCTTGACTGAGTGCCTGGTTTGGTTGAAGCCAAACAATGTCACTCTATGCACGATAGAGGTGATCAGCTGTTTCGCGATTTTGTGTGATCTATAATTTTTAAATTCTTTCATCGTGACACACAAGATGAGTATTTTGTGTGTTTTTTCTGTATTTTTTCTGGTAACTTTGATATTTTTTCGTCTAATTTCTGACGTTGTTTACATCGCGGTCAAAAGAAACTCGGTCGCTGGATTTCATTCATTGTTGTATTGTCGATCTCAAGAAAATGGAGGGAGAATTCCAGATGGCGTAAACAACTACCGTTTATAGTATCGTTGGCTTTTTATCGACTCGTATTGCAATTCAAATCGATGAATTTGCTTAGTACTCCAACTTACCATTTCGAGTGTCAATCAAAACTCCAGTGTTTTAGAAAGTCGAACTCTAACTTTTCTTGAACTGAACTTTGAAGTTCAAAAGTTTAAGAACTTTAAGACAAGTTTACAGAGTTTTCCGGAAAAAACGATCGTCATCTGTCGTTTTAAATTACATTCATGGGAGTTTTTGCATATTTAACCATTTCAATGTTGTTGTTTTTTTGACTGAAAAACAATTTTTTTTTACCAACTTTTTAATCGCACTATGCTATGGTTTTCACACCAGCTTGGGTATTACCGTATATGGGGTAAATTTTGGGGAAAAGATTTATCTATCTCTCAATAACCACCTAAATCGATGAATTCAATTGTTCACAATATTTATAATTCATAAATTAAACTTCAGTCTTCAAATTTGGCTCTCAGCTTTTGTATAGTGCCATAGTACATTTCATATCAGACCATCTGTTGTTGATTACATATTTAAACAACCATCCCTGAGATGCCAAGCATACTAAATTTGTATGCACAAGATTCACTGTAATTTTAAAAGCAAACACAAACACAAATGTGTTTTTGATGGTATTCATGGCAATGTAACAATCTAAGATTCTCTTTGAAGGGAATTCACAACAATTTTTTTCTATAGTTCTTGAGTTGGTAAAAATTTTTAACTGTAGCCGAGTTTAAATTAAATAACAACGTGGTGACATTATTTGTTCACAACTCAAGACTGCATTATCAGATCTGTGCCAATTGGTGTAAAACCCAGACTGTAAACTGACCCCCAGGCACTAGCATGGCTTCTTATCTGGGTCAGGTCAAATGAAATGGATCACATGTTATAACAGGAGGTAATAAAATTGTGAGTTGGAAATCAGAATCATGTTTCTACCTTACCACAATCTCAGACTCTTAAATTTCCTAACACATCTTATTTGTTTGTTTTATTTATTTTGAATAATATTCATGCTTGCCCTGCTTTCAAAATTCATTTTTGCATAAAACTAATCACCAACTAGTGAAAATGGATTAGACAGAAACGCATCAAAAATCTGGAAAAAAAATCTAGATACAGTAACAATATTTTACAGTTTGAGGTTTGTACAATTTATGGTACTAGTTTTCATTTGTTTCTTTTTCTAACAAAATCACCATGGCCACACTTTTCCAAGGATTAGTGTTGCCATGGAAATAGCAAAATAATCCCTGCATTTTCGTTGTTGCCCATCTTTAAATTGACTGGAAAAGCTATTTATTTAAACCACTGTACTGAATTTAAATGCCAATGATTTGGCTTTCCTTTTAAACAGACATTTAATATTCATGAACAAGCGTGTTCTGACTTGTTTTAAAACCCCTCAACACTGTTTCTATTGATATCCATGTGTATGGGCTCTGTGTGCCCTTATTAGGCTTAGTTGTGTGGATCTAATGTATTTGTAGTTTGCAATTACTGTATGTAAAGTTGTGCATGTTACAACTTCACAAAAATTGACACATCTGTATTAGAAATAAGCCTGATCTATTTCTTCAATTTATTCTTGCCAACAGGTAGCAACACAAAATGGAAGAGACAACGCAATGTTCATTTCTGCCAATGGGATTCATTCCTACTACGCCAGATTCTGATTCTGATGCAGAACCACACAGGGACAATGAATCAGAGGCGATAAAAAGTGTCTTGTTTGCATCGTCGATGGGTGATGAAACAGACAATGGGACGTGCAATACCTTGCCCCAACAAAATACTGACAATCACATTTCTGCAGTGAAACACCAGTCGACAGTTGATTCACCAGCCATACAGATGTCGACTAACACAGTAGACATGTACCATCCAACCCCTCAAGTAAAAATCGTGGATGGTAAATACGTGCCAGCAACCCCAACAAAGCCAACTGAAGCTACCAACGTTGGTCCTGTCACCCCTACAACGAATTTGAAAATTCTTCTAAGTGCTGCTAGTCCAATTATTCGAGAAAGAGACAACCGAAAAAAAAAACTATTTCCTCATGATCCAATAATGTACACCGCCGAATGTCCACCTTCGAACGCTATAAAATTGAAAGAGGAACAGTCAGATTCGGAAGAAGTTTACGACGATACTTGCAGCCTGTTAGTAGAAAAGAAAAATCGTTAGGACTTCTGTGTCAAAGGTACTGTGTTTTCCTTCTCTATGTATGTAATCATCTGTGGAAAAGTATACACTATTGTCTTGAGGCAAAACTTTGAAATTCCCAGTTTTTTAATCAGTGTGAATGATTTTTACAGGTTTCTATCTCGTTTTCCTGATTATCCGAACCCAGCTCTGAATAATGAAATCAGTTTAGATGTTGTAGCACATGAACTTAGTAAGTATGGTTGCTTTGATTTATTCAGAGTTTCTTTTACTTGTATTTTACTCGGAGTTATTTTTTAATTCAATTTGTGAAGTAAACTTTTATCACATTCACACAAAAATTTTTTACATTTTTCACAAATTTATTTCAATAACCTGTAGCCAGTAGAAAAATTATGTTGATTTAGTTCAAAATGATTTTAAAAAAATTAGAGAAAAAACATAGAGCTCAAAAGGTCAATCATTGTATTTGTTCTGCTTTTAATAAAAATCATAAAACAATAAATTGAACGTGACCAACACATACTTGATTGCTTGATTTCAATTTGTAGGTATTCCAGAGATTTATATTATAAGTGATATACTAGTATACTATATGTAAATTTAATCCTAAAACTAGTATAACTAGCTTAAGAATTCGTAGTCTGATATTCTTTCTAAGGTTTATATACTAGTTGTACATCTTATTACTGTTTTGTAATCTTTAATGAGCATGTGCCATTTTAGCTTGTAAGGACATTGTCGATTTAATTCAATAAGCAGACATCCTGTCAGTGATTCTGATTGACAGACGAACCAAGTTACTTAGATTCATTCATTCATGCATTATGCTATTTTTCATTCACAAACCGATATCAGGTGGCTGTCAAATGCCTTCTAATGACAGGCGTGATTCATATATTGGACACGTTTTTAGTACATTACGCACCTGTCTCCACTAGATTTTTTTTTCTGAACCACTCCTTTAGAATTAAACTATCTCTAGTTCACTTTACATCTTGTTGAGCAAATTTTATATTTAAAAGCAGGATTTCAACTCTAAAAGCATCCATTTGAAAAAAAAAATGTTGGATGTACAATTCTGACAAAATTTATGTAAAATATAGAGTGAAAACAATTTTTTTTTAAATTTAGTCAATGAAATAGGCTATATGTATTTATTCTTGGCAAACCTAATTACTAATACTGAAATCATTAGACATTAAAAAATATGTACATGTGTCAAATTTCACTGAGAAAATGAGGCTTTAAAGGTAGTTACTAATTAATACCTGTCATCAAATTGAAAACTGAAGTACTTTAGTCTGAAAATCAAGATTTTTAAAAACCGAAATAACTCGTTCTCCATATAAACTCCTAGACTGCCGACAGTTCTCGGGCCTAATAAAGAGTCATTTATTTGTGACTCAAACTACGTCATACACCGATCAACCAATCATGAGCGAAATGGGTCACCAATAAGCAGGAAATAGTAGTAGTTTGAGTGACAAGTCTGAACAGGAACGTCACCGGGCAATTTCCACATAATGCCGCATGAGGGTGTTTACATACTATAACAGTCTCTTGGGCCCTACAGTCCTCCCTTGTTGTAACTAACATTGCATGTTTTGTCTCCTGAAGGTGTGGAAAGAAGAAGAATCTATGATATTGTAAATGTCTTGGAAAGTGTTGAAATTGTTAGTAGGTTTGCCAAAAATAAATACATCTGGCATGGAAAAGTGAAACTACTCGATACATTAACAAAACTTAGAGTAAGTTCTGTTTTGTTACTGTTTTGTTTTTGGTTTTTTTTTATTTTAATGCAGGGGGATATGATTTCTTATTGAATTCCCAGTAAAAATCGCAGCTACACAGGAATTGCTATTGTTCTTTACAAGCGTTCATTTCTATTATTTTTTATTTTCACTATTTTGAGCACATTCACTTGGCCAATGAATAATTATGGATTTGTTGTACATAATAATAATAACATAATAATTGTTTATCATAAAAACAATGTTAACTTTATCATATGACTTAGAAAGGGGTATTTTTTTTAACCAGTTGATGAATGACTACAATTTGCATAATAACAAATTAATTGATACCAATTCTCTATTAGAATTTGGGTGAAACTGAAAACTATGCCAGTCAAATACAGCATCTCAAGAAAATGCAAGAGGAGAGAGAGTTCAACTTTGGGGAGGATCTCAAATCGAAAAAGGAACCACTACATCCAACAGAATCTGAAAATATGCCATTAAGATTTTGTAACTCCAAAGATGGGCTGGAAAAATGTAAGTTTTGTTATTTTGAATTTATATTCAGTGTTCCTTTACATATACTGTAAAGTACTTAATTTTAGCTGGAATTAATTTTCGCTGAAAAGACTTTTCATATGGTTGTATGGAATTTATTTTCACTGATTTTTGACAAGTATAGTGTAAAATATATTTTAAAAAAGGCATATTCGCTGGATTTTATTTTCACTGAATCATTCCTTCAGCGAAATAAGCGAAAATTAATTCCATGCGAAAATATTTTACAGTAGTTCAATTCTGCCAATATTCATTTAAAAACAAAAGAAGTTTACAACTTTTTATTCATCCAAAATTACTGAGTGTTCATTGTAATTTATGTATGTTTATTCACTATTCTGTTTACACCAACAGTCAATAATCGGAAAGACAAATCTCTTGGTGTGATGAGCCAGAAGTTTATTATGTTGTTTCTAGTCTCTAAGGTACGTCAAATTGGACTTGTACCTGCAATTAACCCCGTATTTTTCTGCTATGCACATATATTTTTTCTATGATTGTTTGGTAATTTGGGACAAAATAGTGCATAATTTCCCATCGGTTTACATTTCTTGGATCAACATTTTTAAGAACAATTTACGCTATGCCTTGAACTTGAATATTCTGAGACATCAGTTTCAAAACCAGCGTTTTCTAAAAATACCCCCAACTGATGGAAAAATATTTTACTATTTCCAAGGGTATCAAAGCAGTCTGGTAATGGTCTCCATGTGTTTTATGTTTATTGTGTGAAACAAGTTCAACATTAAAGGTCCCTTGTAATTCCATGTGAAATAATAAATAAATCTTATTTGTTTTCTCCACAGACAAAAGTTGTGTCATTAGATATCGCAGCTAGAATACTTATCGGCGATATTAATTATGAAATTAACGAAAACTCAAAGTTTAAAAGTAAGCTTAAAACTATTTTCATCCATATTTAAATTTATTCCATGTTGCTTGGGAAAGATAGTGATTATTGTTCTGTGCATGATTAATTTGTTGAATACTGTGAAATACTTTATTTTGTATGGAATTTATTTTCACTGATTTTTGACGAGTTGAATGTAAAATATAGGGAAAGAAGTATATTTGCTGGATTTTATTTTCACTGAATAATAACTTTAGAGAAAATTAATTCCAAGTGAAAATAAAGTATTCTACAGTATATTGTGTCACCGTCTTCCCCTGCTAAGAAAAATGTTGCTTTAAATTTTACAATAATTTGACAACGTTCACAGGTATAAGCATTTTGTGACTTATCGCCTTAACCTGTTCACTACCAATTCCCTCTTTTTATCACAAATTCACAAAATAGTTCTGTTTATAGTCTGCACTTTCCTTCAGAAGATTTGGACATAAATAACCCAAATCTTTTGAGTAAATACTGAAAATGACTAAAATTTTGTCTGTTGGCTCAAAAATTAGGATTCATTTCCAGAAATATTAAAGAATATAAAAAGGGCAGAAAAATTTAGCGAGAAAGTCTGGTGGTGAAAAGTTTACCTCTTTGAACGCCATAACTTTTTTATATTTTGATAATTTTGATCCAGATGAACATATTTGGCAACAAGTCTTAATGAAAATTTTAGAACAAATTATGAAAAAAAAGTTGTGTGTGTTTTAAAATTTGTGAATATTGACAAAAGTTGACTTAGCACCCAAATGGTAAAAAAATGAAGATGGTTTTGGATATATTTTGGTAAAATTATCAAAGAACAATAGGAAAAAATGGGAAAAAGATGTCAGTCCAAAATCAAAGTTGCCAGTTCGTTTGGTGGGTGGACTGGTGGCTGGCTAATGCCCTGGTTGCATGTAAATGAGAGACATCAATGTGAATTTCTAAAAAGCTGTTCCAGTTTAAATTTTGTACAGCTTAGTTTAGAGTTAACAAGTTGATAATGCTGATTGAAAGAATTTGGCTCTCCTGTACATCAGCACCTGCAACTTGTGCAGACATGTCAATTACATTAGGGACAACGTCAAAAGATCGATGTCGGATAAAAAAAACTTATTTCCTTTAGTTTGGGGGTGGGGGTTTTTGACCTCAAAAAGTTTCCATCCTACAAAAACAAAAATTTTATTTTTTAATGAAGTCAAAAAAATCTTGGAGTATTTGTAGTTCGTTTTTTTTTCTATCCAATCATGGACAGAAATAACCGAAAAGGGAAAAAAAACAGAAAAATGGTTTGGTTCAAGTGTAAATCTGTGCGTCAAATGAGGTGCATTTGTAAAATCTTTTTACACCCACCCGACAACCAACTGCTATGCAATACTACTGTCCGATTATCAATTTGTATTTAATGGTAAATGTAGTCTGACGCCATGACTAATATTTATCAATTAAGTTTCAGTAGGGGGGTTTGGAAAAAAACTAAAGGAATTAAGTTTTTTATCCGACATCGATCTTTTGACGTCGTCCCTTATTGGCACCACTACTTCACCATAGGTACGTGATAAGTTGCGCGAGACCTACAACATTAGATCACGTTCTCGCATTGACCAGTTAGTATATGATCTGATCTGATCTTATCGCTGAATTTTTAAATGGATCTGCAAGTTTAAACAACCAAGATCAAATCAAGTTTTGTGATAAAGTGACAACGGAATTCTTTCATTTATTCATCACTGTGATCAAAATTTGTTTACTGGGAAGGCAAA